GAGGCGCTGCGGCTGGAGATGCGACCTGGCCAGGGTTTAGGGTTTAGGGTTTAGGGTTTAGGGTTTAGGGTTTGGGGTTTGGGGTTTGGGGTTTAGGGTTTAGGGTCTAGGGTTTAGACTTTAGGGTTTGGAGTTTAGGGTTTTAGGGGTAGGCCTAAAGCCAAACCAGAAGCAGCCCAAACCCATAAACCTGAAACCCAACGCAGAGGAATCCCAATTCTCGAAAAATCAACTGAAGCCCCATGTCTGAAGCCTAAACCCCAAACTCTATACCCTAAGCCCTAAAGCCCAAACCCTAAACCCTGAACCCCCTGAAGCCGTGCGGTCCCAAAACTCTGAAGCCCTGAGGGCATCTCGACCCCCAAGATCTAACCAATGAAAGTCCTTAGCCTGAAGCCCTAAGCCCAGGTCGCGTGCAGCCCCCCTGAACTCTGATTTAGGGTTTAAGGGTTTAGGGTTTTAGGGTTTCGGGTTCAGGGTTCAGGGTTTAGGGTTAGGGTTTAGGGTTTAGGATTTGGGGTAACCGAAGTACAAAGCACGTAGAACAGCCGCAAAGCCCAAGTTTTCGCATGGCCAAGTACGGAAGGTGTACCTATGCCGGCACGATGGTGACTTTAGCTGGGCAAACCCTAAACCCTATATTTAAACCCTATATACCCTAAACCCTATTCCTAAACCCTAAACCCCAAACCCTAAACCCTAAACCCTATAAACCAAAGCCAAAACCCCTTGGATGAAGCCACCTTGGCCTTTATCGCCAGGTATAGATACACCACTTGCCCATATTGCGGGAAGGTGAAGGCCGACCTTTCAGAGTCTGGTGGGGGTTTTGGGGGTTTGGGGGTGTAGGGGTTGAGGGGTTTAGGTGGTTTGGGGGGGGGGGGGGGGTGCCTTGGACTCTTCCGTGCTATGTGACGCGGGGTTGGTACTCGCGGGGTTCGCGGGGTTCTGCGGGGTTGCGCGGGGTTGGCGGGGTTCACGGGGTTGCCCGGGGTTGCGCGGGGTTCTGCGGGGTTCCGCGGGGTTGCGCGGGGTTGGCGGGGTTCGCGGGGTTGCGAGGGGTTCCGCGGGGTTCCGCGGAGTTCGCGGGGTTGCGCGGGGTTGCGCGAGGTTGCGCGGGGTGTGCGGGGTTCCGCGGGGTTCGCGGGGTTCCGCGGGGTGCCGTGGGGGTGCGCGGGGTTCGCGGGGTTCCGCGGGGTGCGCGGGGTTCGCGGGGTTCCGCGGGGTTCTGCGGGGTGCGCGGGGTTCGCGGGGTTCGCGGGGTTCCGCGCGGTTGCGCGGGGTGCACGGGGTTCGCGGGGTTCCGCGGGGCTCCGCTGGGTGCGCGGGGTTGCGCGGGGTTGCGCGGGATTGCGCGGGGTTGTGCGGGGTTGTGCGGGGTTGTGCGGGGTTCCGCGGGGTTGTGCGGGGTTCCGCGGGGTGCGCGGGGTTCGCGGGGTTGGCGGGGTTCGCGGGGTTGCGCGGTGTTGCAACAAATTCTGAAGCAGATTGAAAAAATGTTGTGTTAACTACAACCAACAAAAACTGTTGTCACATAGTCCGGAACACTCCAACCCTCGGGGGGGGGGGGGGGGGGGGGGGGGGGGGGTCTAGAGGTTTAGGGGGTTTAGGGGTTTAGGGGGTTTAGGGGTTTAGGGAGTTTCGGAGTTGGGGTTTATAAAGTTTAGGGTGTAGGGTTTGGGGGTTAGGGTTTAATTAGGGGTTTAATCGGGGGTTTAGGGTTTAGGGTTTCAGAGCCATGCATGGTTTTGCAGCCGACACATCCATGTTGCAGCTTGTACCGAGTTTGTTTTCACCTCTTGATGCTGAGACGCCGTTTACTTAAAACCCTAAACCCTAAACCCTAAACCCTAAACCCTAAACCCTAAACCCTAAACCCTAAACCCTAAACCCTAAACCCTAAATGCCAGTTGCCCTCCCAAAGAGCTGACTCTCATCTCAAAGGCCACACTGTTGTACCCGCTTTCGCGGGTGCCTCCTGAATAAAGTCAAGTTGACCGGGCTATTCAGGAGTCTCGCTGACTGTTCAGGGGGGGGAGGGAGGGGGGAGAGGGGGGGGGGGGGGGGCCCCGTACCAAATCAGGTACTACAACCTAGCACCCGGCATAGGCCCTTATTTCCATTTTTGGGGTTGGGGTTCCCCTCAAAACCCAAAAGCGTACCCTTTTATTCCTAGGTTACTCCTGGGTCTAGCAGTCCAGATCTCAGAGACCAGCTTGTGGATAGAGCGCCGGCGGGTTTAGGGGGTTTATGGGGCTTAGGGCCTGCCATCCTGGAGTCAGGGTTTAGGGTTTAGGGTTTAGGGTTTAGGGTTTAGGGTTTAGGGTTTAGGGTTTAGGACCTCATGGCGTCATGGCGCGCCCCATAAATCCTGGACCCGATGCCCTACTCCTTCAGTTCCTTAGGGCCCATGTATCTGATTATGACTATCTTGGCCCCCAATGTCCCTATATAGGAAGTATGTTAAGGCCCAAGTATTCCCTGTTTAGGGTTTAGGGTTTAGGGTTTTAGGTACATGGACCCATAGGGGATTCAGATAGTCGACAGCAGGCGATTCTGGACTACTTCCGTATTCCCCACGAAGCTTGGCGCGCCCGGTTTACGGTAGGGGGCGGGGGGGGGGGGAGGGTGGTGGTGGGTTTTGGGCTTTTGGAGTTGTTTGGGGCGTAGAGGCTGGTTTAGGTTCAGGGTATACAGAACCTGGGTTTCGATTTAAGACCTTGCTTCATATGTACTCAGGAAAGTAGATGACCAATAGTTGTGTCCTAGATTTATCTTTGGCAGGCTCAATACTAGTTCGCTGTATGTCAACATACATAAAACTTAGTGGACACATCGAGGTGTTCGCAAAGACCGAAGCTCTCTATGAGTATCCATGAGCGATTAGGGTCCAGGCTTTAGGGCTCCTTTTGGGCGAACAATTAACACGAACGAACGCACACACAACGAAGAACAAAAACTTTTTTCAACGTTATCGCATCCCTCAGCAGGTTTACGGCTGAGGGTTTAGAGTCCTAAACCTAAAATCCATAAACCAAGAGCCCTAAAGCCTAAATACCCATAAGCCCTAAGCCCTAGACCGTATGCTCAACTTAGAAACCCAAAATCCTAAACCCTAAACCCTAAACCCTAAACCCTAAACCCTAAACCCTAAACCCTAAACCCTAAACCCTAAACCCTAAACCCTCCCCAAAACCTACAAGCTCAGGAGGCGGTGGAAGTAGAGCCCATGTTCAAGTCGCAGCTGAAGCCCAGTGAGTACAAGAAGCTGCCGCAGCCGACTGCTTGCATCCATGTAGGGACTCTTTGAAGGGTTTAGGGTTTAGGGTTTAGGGTTTAGGGTTTAGGGTTTGGGGTTTGGGGTTTGGGGTTTGGGGTTTAGGGTCTTCCTTCAGAGTTGTTTGCCTAGGGTTTTGAGGCTTAGGGTGTCGGGTTTCCGGGTTTCGTGTTGAGGGACTCAGGGTTTAGCTTCGCGCTGAGAGCCTTAGGGTCTAGTGTTTAGGGCTTGAGGTTTTATTTCGGGTTAAGGACGTCAAAGTTGTTTTTCGGCTCCAGGGGTTTCGGCTGTGCCGATTGTTGAAGTTTTGTTGCTAGGGTTCGGGGGGGGGGTGGGGGGGGACCCTACGAAGCGTCCCATTGGCCGCCATGACGCACCCTTACCCCTAAACCCTAGACCAGAAATCAGCCCCGACCTCAAACATCAGCTGCAAAACGACCCTAAACCCTCACCACGACTCTAGGGTTCGAGGGCTTAAAGCAAGGAACCCTAAAGCAAACCCAGGAACGCTCAACCCAAATCCCATGTTTTCAACCCCAAGAACTCTAGACCTTAAAACCCTGAACACTACGCCCTAAACCCTAAATCTATAAGGCCTAAACCCAACCCTAAACCCTAAACCCTAAACCCTAAACCCTAAACCCTAAACCCTAAAGCCATAACAGCCTAAAGCTCTCGTGTCTAGCAGCACTTGCGCGCCGACTCTGAGGTGTGGGAGTTTAGGGTTTTAGGGTTTTAGGGTTTTAGGGTTTTGGGGTTTTAGGGTTTTGGGAGTTTAGGGTTTTAGGGTTTTGGGGTTTTAGGGTTTTGGGGTTTTAGGGTTTTAGGGTTTTAGGGTTTTAGGGTTTTAGGGTTTTAGGGTTTTAGGGTTTTGGGGTTTTGGGGTTTTAGGGTTTTTTAGGGTTTTAGGGTTTAGGGTTTAGGGTTTCTAGGGTTTTAGGGTTTTAGGGTTTTAGGGTTTTAGGGTTTTAGGGTTTTAGGGGTTTAGGGTTTTAGGGTTTTAGGGTTTTAGGGTTTTAGGGTTTTAGGGTTTTAGGGTTGTAGGGTTTTAGGGGTTTAGGGTTTTAGGGTTTTAGGGTTTTAGGGTTTTAGGGTTTTAGGGTTTAGGGTTTAGGGTTGTTTAGGGTGTAGGGTTCAGGGTTCATAAGCTACCCTGGTAGAGGAGTCTTCGTAGTCACCACGCATCCCGCCTACTGCCCCTGATTACATACGTCACCGACTACCCAGATACTTTTGTCTTTAACTGTCCCTACAGGGTGGGGCCCCCTTACTATACTAACTGTAGTTAAGGGACTTATAACCTAACTTAGGGTCCTTATAACCCAATTTAGGGCCCTTATAACTCTACTTATAACTAGGGGGCCCCACCCTGTATGTCAAGCCCAGCAGATAACCCCCCTGTATATCATAGACGAACTACCCTTAACATACTTACTTCGCCACTTAGTATGTATCATAAACAGTGCCCGACAGACTCGGCCCCTGTGTTAGGCCCAAGCCATAGATCACCAGTAGCGCGACACCCTCTTTAAACCCTTTCAAAGACAGACGCCTTCGCTGTGAGCCTTGGTTTCCGCGGGTTTGGTTGCTTCGGGATGCAACTCGCACGGAAGAAGCTGGGAGAGCAGGAACGATTGTTGATGGAATAGTCTTCATCCGTTTTGGGTTTTCTGCATGACTCCTTGGCTGCGGGGTGCTGGCTCACATGTGCCTGTGAGGCTTGATGTCCTACGGAGAGGTCCTGCCCCAGCCACCTCACTGTGACCAGGAGTTCTTCGTCGTGGAGACGCACCCAGCGTAGTCGCTGGAAGGCTTCCTGTTGCCAGTGCGGATGTTCAACAACAGCGTTGGCGATGACACCAGGTTGAGGCATGTTCCTTGAAGGCTCCTGCACCCGTTGGAAGTCCCTCCCGGCCTAGCAGACTTCACAGTGGTCGTGGCAAGAGTCGGCGCAGATGAGTCGTTGATGGCTTCTGCCTTGCTGGTGGGCGTGTTTCTCACTGTCGACCAGCTGAAGGAGCTGCGCGGCTACAGGTTCGAACTCCCGAAAAGAAGGAAGGCTCCGGCAAGAGCGGGGACGTAGTCAAGGCCGACTATGCCCGAGCACTCGTGAAGCATGTGCACCCAGAGGCGTCCGAAGAAAGTCGACTCGCAATGATCGAAGCCATCATGGGCCGCCACTGGATCCCTACGGGAAAACCTTCAGCCTTAAGTCATCCTATGCCCTATACCCTACTTGGAGGTTAATGGGCTCTTCTAACCCCAACTGTAAGTCTACTTATATCCTACTGAGGGAGGTTAGGGGACTTATGAGTACAGTTATACCTCAGGTTATAAGTACCCTGAGCCTCCAAGAAGGCCTGTAGCGCTAAACCCTAAACCCAAAGCCCTAAACCCTAAACCCTAAACCCTAAACCCTAAACCCTAAACCCTAAACCCTAAACCCTAAACCCTAAACCCTAACCTATGAGCCATCCCAAGTCCCCCTAACGGCCCCTAGGCTGCGCTTCGGTGGCGAGGATGGCGTGTGGCTGGTAGACAGCGACTGCATCGCCGCGTGACCCAAGGGTTTTAGGTTTTTTTTTTTGGTTTAGGGTTTAGGGTTTAGGGTTTAGGGTTTAGGGTTTAGGGTTTAGGGTTTGGGGTTTAGGGTTTAGGGTTTAGGGTTTAGGGTTTAGGGTTTAGGGTTCGGGGCAGGGGTACTTCCTCGCAACTCTAAACCATAAGCCCTAGACCCTAAGCCCGTCGCACAGCAGCCCTCTCTGTTAGCTAAGGGTTTCGGGTTTGGGGTCTGGCGTTTTTTCAGCCTTCTGCGTTGACGTCTGGCATGTCTGGCATGAGGAGGACACCCTAAACCTTAAACCCTAAACCCTAAACCTTAAACCCTAAACCTTAAACCCCAAACCCTAAACCTTAAACCCTAAACCCTAGACCCTACAGGGTGGGGCCCCCTAGTTATAAGTAGAGTTATAAGGGCCCTAAATTGGGTTATAAGGACCCTAAGTTAGGTTATAAGTCCCTTAACTACAGTTAGTATAGTAAGGGGGCCCCACCCTGTAGAGCCTAAACCCGAGAGCTGGCTCAGGGTGTAAGGTTTGTAGGGTTTAGGGTCCGAAATGATTGGGGTTTAGGGTTTATAGGGTTTGGGTGTGGTATCCCTGGGTGATATACACCGCTCGGTGACCTACAAAGGGTAGGGCTCTTGCGTTCCGAACACCTAGAAACCTTCAACCCCTAAATCTAAATCCCTTCACCCGGAAATCCGCAACCCCTGAACCTACCCTCGCCCCCCCCCGCCTCCCCCCCACCCAGCGGCTCAACCCTGAACTTTTGTCCCCTTGAGGGTTTATAGCGTTTATGGTTGAGGGATTGTAGGGACTCTAAACCCTAAACCCTCAACCTCAAACACTAAACCCTTATAAACTTTAACTCAATTTCCCACATTCCCTCAGGTCGAGGCAATGTCGAAGGCCCTTGGCCTGGAGTCGCAGCTGAAAGACCCGGAGGCCTGCTTTTGTGGGTTTAGGGGTTTCAATCCCATCCCCTCCCCCTATTGTTGAGCGGCCCCCCCCCCTTCCCTCAACAGAAACTCGAATTTGTTTTCGGTTTCGGCAGGATTTTCCGGAAAGTGTGTGTGTGTGTGTGTGTGTGTTTTTTGTTTTCAATAATTGGGGGGTGTATTTAAGAAACAGGGGGAAGTGATTAAGGGTTTCGGGTTTTGAAGGGTTTTAGCTTTCGCGCCTGGGGGTTAGGGGCTTAGGTTAGGAGTGAGTTTTCGGAAGGGTTAGGCGTTTAAGGGCTTCGGGGCTTCGGGGCTTAGGGAAAGTTAAGGGTTGCTTGTTTTCTGTGGGGTTAGGAGCTTGGCATTTGGGCTTCGGGTTCATCAGTAAATTCAATATATAGGTGTATTTATATATATATATATACAAAGAGAGTAAAGACACCAGAGTTGATAGGGCTTTCGGGTTATGGGGGGTCTAGGGCCGCAAGGACGTAGGGTGATGTGGCCACAGGGTTTTGCAGTAGATGGGCTTTCCAGGCTGGCTCTGAAGCATTTGCTCGCTGCCAAGATGGGTTGGACAATGCTAGACGACGCATGGGCTAAGAGCTCCTAAAATACATGTCATCCTTATGCGCTCATAATCCCTGCCCAGAAAACTCTACAATCCTAAGGCTTTTAACGGCAGCTACAGGGTGGGGCCCCCTAGTTATAAGTAGAGTTATAAGGGCCCTAAATTGGGTTATAAGGACCCTAAGTTAGGTTATAAGTCCCTTAACTACAGTTAGTATAGTAAGGGGGCCCCACCCTGTAGCTGATACGCCCCTAAACCCTCAATCGTATAAAACCCTAAACCCTAAACCCTAAACCCTAAACCCTAAACCCTGAACCACACCTTTTGCCCTAGCCCCCTCAAATATCAGATCCAGCGGTGGCGGTCGTGGGCCAGGGAGTCGCTTGTGAGGCCAGGCTTTGTGCATGTTTGGGTTGTGCCCTAAACCCTAAACCCTAAACCCTAAACCCTAAACCCTAAACCCTAAACGTCCCACACCATGGAGCCTTGGGGTTGCCTGGCTTTGGGGCTTTCGGCAGCCGCCCTGGGATCGAAAACCTTCGGAACTCCATTGCCATGAAAGTTGACGGTTCAGATTTGGGGGTTCTTTCTGTCGACCAGCTTTCCGCTGCCCTAAAACCCTAAACCCTAAACCCTAAACCCTAAACCCTAAACCCTACAACCTAAACGATGCCTTTGAGGGCACTTTTACCCAAGGGTCAAGCTTTGGGGGGCCGGGCCCTGGGTTTCGAGGGTGTAGGTTTGGGGCTTCTGGCAGGTTAAACCCTAAGACCTTATAAACCCTAAACCCCAAAACCTAAGCCCTAAACCCCAATTTCTGAACCCTAAGCCCAAAACCCAAAACCCTCAAACGTCAATCCTAAACCCTCAATACATTTGTGTTAGGTCACAGGAGCACAGGAGCGGTCCAGGGCCCTAGGTTTCACCTCAAGATTCGCGTTTCCCTCAACTCTAAACCTCTAGGGTTGAGGGGTTGAGGGGGTTTAGGGTTTAGGGTTTAGGGTGTAAGGTGTAAGTAGTACCGGCGAAGCCTGATGTCCTCGCATGATAGTTGCCTTCTAAAATAGATGCTGTGGAGTTCATGATTTGTCTAGGGTTGAGGGACATGTGTATGGTGGTTTTGATTTGCGGCGATCGGTTTCTCGAACGACCCTTCGCTGCTTGAGTGTTCGCTTTGAACACGTTTTTGGGCCCCCTAGACCTTCCATAACCTTATTTCACCCAAAAAGAGCATGTTTATTGGGCCCCTACCTCCGTGTACGCATTCTTTGTGAGCTTTCTCCCTCCGGCTGGTTTAGGCACGTCACGCTGAACATCAACAGGACGGGAATCTGCTGCGCGGTAGCTACTGTTAAATTGCAGCTTCGAAGAAGCCCTCTGCGGCATACCCTAGATTACACCCGAAACCTTATACGCAGGATTAATTAACATGTAGAGGCTTTGCGGCTTAGATTCTGCCCCCTCCACCCGGGTTTAGGGTTTAGGGTTTAGGGTTTAGGGTTTGGGGTTTGGGGGTTTGGGGTTTAGGGTTTAGGGTTTAGTAAAGTGTGAAAGGCTCGTGGGAAATTGAGTTTGTGTTCAGGGTTTAAGTTTAGGGCTTAGGGGGTCAAGATTTGGGAGGCTGCGCAACCCTTAAGGTCCCAAACCCTCGAATCGTGGAACTAGACCATCCGTAAACCCTAAACCCTAAACCCTAAACCCTAAACCCTAAACCCTAAACCCTAAACCCTAAACCCTAAACCCTAAACCCTAAACCCTAAACCCTAAACCCTAAACCCTAAACCATCAGCATCATGTTCGGACATCTTGCCTTTTCCCTACCGTCAAGTTTTCGGAAGATCCTGCTATAAGGAAGATTTCCGAACATGTTCAAGGCCGACCTAGATGACTTTCGGGTTTAGGGTTTAGGGTTTAGGGGAAGCAGACCAGGAGTCTGGCCAGTGCCTGGCAGGGATACAGCATCTTCGCTGCCATCAGGGTTTAGGGCTTAGGGTTTAGGGCTTAGGGTTTAGGGTTTAGGTTTTAGGGCTTAGGGCTTAGGGCTTAGGGTTTAGGGCTCACGGCCTACTTGGAGGTTCATGGTACTTCTTAGCCAGTTAGAACTGTACTTATCACCCACTTATAAGCCCCATAAGTGCCCAATATATGGGTATAAGTACAGTTATAATTGGTTAATAAGTACCATGAACCTCCAAGTAGGGTTTAGGGCTTCGGGCTTCGGGCTTCGGACTTAGGTCTTCGGAAGGAATGCAAGTGCAAAAGCTGTCCAATCCGCAAGCCCTAAGCCCCTGGCTTCATTGGTGGGTTTCAGGCTTAGGGTTTAGGGCTTAGGGCTTAGGTTTAGGGTTTAGGGTCCAAAAGTCTAAGCCGCTACAGCGTGCACCTTAAATCCCCTGAGCGCAGACGCCTATACACCCTTTAAACCCCGAACTTCGAACCCTAAACCCTAAACCTAAACCCTCAACCCTAAGCCCTAAGCCTAAACCTTAAACCCTAATTGCGTTGCTGATTCTGGAAGCTCCTGCGGGGGTAGCTGTAAATCGTTGGACCTTGTTTCGGGTGCTGGGGTTTAGGATTTCGGGTTTGGCCCAAACCCAAAACGCAACAACCCTTACTTACCCTAAATGCCATGCTCTATGCTTATGCTTCAAAAGCTCAGGGTTTTGGGGCCTCAGGATTTCGGGTCTTCGGGTCTACGGGCCCCTGGGGGCCTCAGACTTTTGAGGTCTTAGGCTTCTGGGCTCAGGGGTTGGGGTCTTTCATGGTCTTGGGCGTCGTGGGTGTGGGAATTAGGGTTCTACTGTCTGGGATCTGAAGGGTCTTGGGGTCTTGAGGGTCTTGGGGTTTAGGGTTTCGGGTCTTAGGTCTCAGGCCTAGGAGTCTATGCCTCTTAGCTGAGCGTTAAAGAACCTAATTACAACTTCGATCAGCTCCCGTTGTGTCACGGAAAGTTGTTAGGACGAGCAGCGGTGCGGATGAAAGCCCCCCCCCCCCCCCCGCCCTGGACCTCTAAACCCTGGATAATCCTCGCCCCAAAACGGAAACAACCCTAACCCTAAACCCTAAACCTTAAACCCTAACCCTGTATATCCTTGGCCCTCCCCAAACAAACCCTAAACCCGGAAGCCTGAAAATCCGGGTGCCCTGTAGCATTGAGGCTACATCGACAGCTTCGACCCATTCCGCTGGTCAACAAGCTCTTTCTGAAGGCAGTATAAAGAGACCATGTGTGGGGTTAAGGGGTTTTAGGGTTTTAGTTTGGTGTAGGGTTTAGGTTTAGGGTTTAGGGTTAGGGTTTAGGGTTTAGGGTTTAGGGTTTTAAGTTTAGGGTTTAGGGTTCAGGGGTTTAGGGGTTTCGGGTTTGTATGGTGCAACAGAGGCAGAGGCTGGAACCAACACGGTTACGGCTCCAGCAGTGGCCGTGCTGCTGATGAACAAGGAGGAACAGGAAGCACAGTCTAAAGGCCGTAATGCCAACAACAGTGGTGGTGGTGGCGGCTGGCAGAGAAGCGACTGGAGCCGACGATCGAAATGGTGGTCGTCGAGCAACCGCCAGTCCAGTGGTGATAGTGGTTGCGGCTGGAAAGGTGGAGACTCTGATGCTGCAGCTCCCGCTCCGGCACCCGGGTTGAGGGTCGAGGGCCGCAGTGGTCTCGAGTCTCGAGTCTGGAGCTTTGTGTGGGTTTCGTCACCGCTCCTGCCTCAAATCCCGGCATCCCTGCAACCAAACCCTAAACCCTAAACCCTAAACCCTAAACCCTAAACCCTAAACCCTAAACCCAAACCCTAAACCCTAAACCCTAAACCCTAAACCCTAAACCCTAAACCCTAAACCCAACCCCCCGAACTCTTCAAGTCCTGAAGGTTTACGACTGTTGGGCCCCGTTTGACTGAACTTCGACTTCGGAACGGTCTTTGGCTCATGCGCTGGGATGCCTAGAGGCTTCAGGTCAGAAGAGAGTCCTTAGATAAGTTTCATTACTTTGAGGATGGCTCCTGACTTCAGGGTTTGTCTTTGAGTATCAACAAACCCAAAACCCTAGGCAACCCTAGCTACAAGCCGAAACCCTAAAAACCCTAATCAGACCACAACCTAAAACCATAGAGCCCTGAACCCTGAGCCCTAAAGCCCGGGATGTTCCCCCTTATACTCCCAAAGGGATTTACAACCCCCCCCCCCCCCTCTATCATAATCCCGATGAAGGACTGTGAGTACCCTAAACCCTAAACCCTAACCCTAACCCTACACCCTAAACCCCACCAAACCCTAAACCCTAACCCTAAACCCTAAACCCTAAACCCTAAACCCTAACCCTAAACCCTAGACCCTAGACCCTAGACCCCTAAACCCCAACCTTAAGCCTGTAATCTCTCCAGCAAGGTGGTCGGAGCACCAGTCATGCGCCTGGACCGAAGGGTGCAAGGACCTTATAAGCCCTAAACCCTAAACCCCCTTACCCCTAAACCCTAAACCCTAACCCTAAATCCGAAACCCAAAGCAGGTGCTGCGCTTTGGGAGGTTTAGGGTCTAGGCTTTTGGAGGCGGGGTTGGGGTAGATAGCCTTTTTCACCTTGTCGGGTATATTCTTTTTAACCCTACCATAACCAAACCTCAAGCTACTTGAGAGCTCAGCAACTACAGGGTGGGCCCCCTTACTAGACTAACGGTAGTTAAGGGACTTATAACCTAACTTAGGGTCCTTATAACCCAATTTAGGGCCCTTATAACTCTACTTATAACTAGGGGGCCCCCCCCTGTAGGGTCTAGGGCTTCAGGCAGCAGGCTTGATGGGTGTAGAATCACTAAAGCCCCAGCTCTTACACTTATAACCCTGCCCCAAGTGGACCATGGCAGGCCCTAAAAGCTGAAACCTCGGGTTGGGGTTTCGGGTTCGGGCTTAGGGCTTTAAAGTGACCCGTGACCCTAAACACCCCCCCGAAACCCTAAACCCTGAACCCGAAACCCCTATAAACCCTAAACCCTAACCCCCTAAACCCTAAACCCTAACCCTACCCTACACCCTAACCCTAAACCTAAACCTAAACCCTAAACCCTAAACCCCAACCCCCCCCCCCCCCCCCCCCTCCCCCAGAGCAACTACCAGTCTGAAGCCACAAGCGTAATGACGGCTATTCCGTTATATTGCCTAAGAGTCCATGCACCTATACGGCTTCTACCTGGGCCCTAAAGCTACTATATGGGAACCCCTTTGAGGCCCAAGCTTATACTGTATGGGTAACATGGACCCTGTAGGGAATGGTGATAAGTGATAAGAGCTACTGCAGTCATTTTTCTGAGCTTTGTAAGAGAGCAGATGCGCAACACAAAATAAACTAGGTGCATAGATATATACGCATAGAGAGATTGAGGGTTTAAGGTTGAGTGTTTAGGGTCATACGCTATGGAAGCAAAGATGGCATGAGCACGTCTCTCTCGCACGAGACTGGTGGCTTCCGAAATTAGAGAGGAGCACCCCCGGCACTGCACCGCGTTCGCCAGCCCTCGACCATGATATCTGGTCGAGCCCAAGCAGGTCGAGCGGATCAGAGAGCGACAGCGACCCGAAACCGCCCGCACCTGTCGCCTGCGTGGGGGGGCGCCCCCCCGTTGGACCCCCATACAGCCCTCCCCCCCACCCCAGCTAACCAGCCCTGGTGCTGGCTGGTGAGCTTGGCTACCTGTCGTGGGCCTTGCGGATACATTCAAGGGACTTAGACTCGGTACCCCTAAAGATTCCCCTGAATATACTCCTCATATGGCCCTTAGATTCCCTTAGGGGTCCGTAAACAGGGACAAGGGTACAACCTTAAGGATCCAAGGTAGGACCCCCAGATACATAGCTCACTGCTTTCGGGTTACCCTAAACCCTAAACCCTAAACCCTAGACCCTAGAACCTAGACCCTAGACGCTAAACATTAAGTTGAGTCCTAAGCCACGTGCCCATCCTTCACTCTGCAGCTTGTTGACGAGCACCGGAAGTTGTGATACTCTCACCCTAAACCCTAAGCCCGAAGCCCTAAATCCTAACCCCAAACCTGAATCCCTAAACCCTAAAATGCAAAAACTCAACAGAACCAACTCAGCGACCCAACTGGTGCAGATACCTGCTAAAAACATCTTCTTTCTCCAATGGCGGCTTCGGGGGTTGGGGGTTTAGGGGGGGTTAGGAGTTTAGGGGTTCAGGGGTTAAGTGTTTAGGGGTTTAGGGCTTTAGGGCTTTAGGGGTTTAGGGGTTTAGGGGTTTGGGGGTTTAGGGGTTTAGGGGTTTAGGGTTTAGGGGTTTTGGGGTTGCGAGTTTGCACCACCCAGGTACATGGTCGCCACCAAGAAGACGTATCCAACTCTGGTCAAATCTGGTGACCTTAAGGATGGCGACGACTGGCGAGCTGTTTTCCATGCGACGCTTGGACGGAGTCAGTTGGATGTTTGCGAAATTCGGGGACCCTCGAAAGTAGACCCCAAATAGTAGGATTCCCTAAGGGTCCATGAACCTAAGTAGGGAAAATTCTTGGGCCTTAAAGTACTTCCTATGTAAGGGGCTTTTGGGGGCCCAAGTGTGTAACAACAAGGTACATGGACCCTGCAGGGTGGGGCCCCCTAGTTATAAGTAGAGTTATAAGGGCCCTAAATTGGGTTATAAGGACCCTAAGTTAGGTTATAAGTCCCTTAACTACAGTTAGTATAGTAAGGGGGCCCCACCCTGTGAGGGATTCCCTTATAGTCTCGGACCCCAGAGTCGGCTCTCCTTCCCCGTTTTCTAGGGGGAACCCTAAACCCTAAACCCTAAACCCTAACCCCTAAACCCTAAACCCTAAACCCTAAACCCTAAACCCCTTTCAACCAAAAAATGGGGCACCCTTTGTCTTTCTTGGCTACTCCTGGGTCTCGTAGTAAGGAGCCCGAGAAAGCCCTCTCGAATTTCGGAAGCCACCAGCTTCACCCCGTGCGAGAGACATGCTCATGCCACCTTAAGCTTCCATAGCGTATGACGCTGAACCCTCAACCTTAAACCCTCAATCTCTCTCTATGCATATATATATATGTATATATATATATATCTATGCACATAGCTTATTTTGTGTTGCGCACCTGCTCTCTTACAAAGCTCAGAAAAAATGACTGCAGTAGCTCGTATCACCATTCCCTACAGGGTCTATGTTACCCATACAGTATAAACTTGGGCCTCAAAGGGGTTCCCATAAAGTAGCTTTAGGGCGCAAGTAGAAACCGTATGGGTGCATGGACTCTTGGGCAATATAACGGCATAGCACTTAGGACCCTCTGGGTAAGGGTAGATAAGGGGTCCCCTTTTTAAGGGCACATATCCATGTAACTATCCTTAGATTCACATCCTTTTTGGTGAGGCAGGTTATAAGTACCCCATGAACCTCCAAGTTTGTGGGGTTTGGGATTTAGGGTTTAGGGTTCAGGCTTTAAGGGGGTTCTTGACTCACCCTTTCCGCTGAGGCAGGTGAACAGCTTCGTGGACGAGGCTGGGAGACGTTGGGGGCCTTCGGGGTCCTAGCGGTTTATGTTTTAGGGTTTAGGGTTTGGGGTTTAGATTTGGCATGCCTGCTGTGGATCATCTTATACACATCTTGACGTGTATATCCATATGCCTAGATGCTACACCCTAAGCCCTGCAAGGTACCATGACTGCACCCTAAACCCTAAACTCTAAAATCTAAACTTTCCTACACCCTAAACCGTTCCTGCCCTGGTAGAGATCTGGAGTGTCAAGACCTGGCATTGTCTTCTGGAGCCTATAGGTCTCGAGAGCGAGAGCTTAATCCCCAGGGCTCAGGGTTCACTGTAAGGGGTTAGGGTTTAGGATTTAGGGGTTTAGCCCTCAACCATCAACCCCTAAACCCCACAGCTCGAAGCCCTTGTGCCTTTACAAGGGTTTAGGGTCTACTGTTAAGGGTTTCGGGTTTAGGTGACTTCATAGTACCTGAAAGCGGGGTATGTTGAATGGCCTAGCTAGGGCTGCATTGGGGCAAGGGCGCGAGCTAAACCCCAAATCGGAAGCAGAATGCCCAGCCTCGACCACCTAAAGCCCTGAAAAGCCCAAACCCTACAAGCCCCACACCCGAATTCAACCATAAGTCCCTAGAAGCCAAAACCTAATCCTAGAACTCTTAACCTCCCCTAAACCCTAAACCCTAAACCCTAAACCCTAAACCCTAAACCCTAAACCCTAAACCC